CTTACTCTATATAACAAAGACTGCAAAAACTTTTAATCATTTAACAAAACTTATAGGATATTCATATTTCTTATTTTGGATGTTTCTTTTACCGTTATTGAATAATTTGTGTCTAAATATTTTATAATTATTTTCTATATCTCACAATTACGGAAATACGATATTCGGAGTATTAAATAAATATTGATTATTCAATAGCTCGTACTCTATACACGAAATTAGATTTTGGCAGACGTCCAAATAATGCTTTTGCGACTTTCACAATGAAATATAAGAATCGCTAACAAATTATAACAAATAGATCTGTTCCTGAAATGAAATATTACTCATATTCTAAATTTATTCCATTTGTAAGTACATTATAATAATTTATCGGCAATGTATGAATGATATTTTTATCTCTAGGCTTTATATTTTGAACTTAAAAAATATATCTTTATGAGGTAGGGTAGTAATAATGTTAATATCTCAATATTTATAGTCAATAAAATGAATCCGAGCAGGTGTTTGTGCAGAATTCAAATTGCTCACTGTATATATATTTTCAGTCGCAAAAATAATAGAACACTATTATTCTACTATATTATTATATTTATATATTCGTGTCTTTTCGAAATATTGATTCGGGGGATGAATAACTTAAAATGACGTGAGTAAAATATGATATAAAATACAAATAACGGAGTGTAATTTCCTTGGCGCTGGCATTTGGATTTGCATAGATTGATTGAATTTGTCGATATTCTGCGTTATTCCCAAGAGGAATATATAATATATCTGTTAATTATTGTGAGATTCAGGAGACGTGTTGATATATTTATCAACTTCAAATTAAAGTATGCATATATATTATTTATTTATGTATCTAGTATTATAATTTATATAGTACTTTTAAAGCTTTTTCAAAACTTGCCTATTTTACGAGTCCGGTTTTACTTATATCTAGTGCGAATGCATACAAATTTGGATAAATACTATAAAATAGTGACAACAATAATCAAAATATTGTCAGTTGAATTATGACACATACTAGCCACTTGATGACATAGCATCTAGTCCTCGATGAAAATTCCATCACATGTCACAAACAAAAATGTAACATAATTTAAATCAATCCCAATTACTATCAAAATTCTAGTGGCGTTTTTCTGAGCGTGCAGGGCGGATTTTCAATGAGACAATGGAGGGCCGTTGTCCACAAATGTGCGCTGGTCAGCTGATCGCAGCATTGACACCATGCGCGAACAAACACCCACCCAGCGCAAGTACCGGCTACGATTTGCAAGAAAAATTAAGTAACATGGAACGAGAAATGAAGGCCATGCACAAAGATCTTTGCTCTGTTAAACAGCGCACTGAGAAAGGCAGCTCCGCCGCCCCAGCAGGCGGAAAAAATCCTTGTTGCTCTTGTGGTAAGAAAACACCAAAAGAACCCACGCCAGACATCAACGAGTTGAAGGCCGAGATCGAGAAATTGAAAGATACAAATAGAGAGCTATGTGATGAATTAGAAGACTGTCGTCTACAAGCTCAGGATACCATGGACCAGATGGATGAATATCGTAAGAAGTATTTACAGGCCCAACAGTTTGTCGAGGAATTGCGGAGACAAGTAGATATTCTGGAACGTGATAATATGCGCATCAGCGAACAAGTCAATCAAGAACTGCAACGCGTTAAGAAAATGTTTCAGGATAAACTTCAGGAGCTGTCACCTTTACCATTCATACTGGAAACTACTCAACTAAAATGTCAAGAAGCTTTGGATGAGAAAGCTAAGCTCGAAAAGTGCATGGAACAGATGCGAATAGAGATGGGTTCTTGCAAGGAAAGAGAACGGTGTCTCATGTGCGAATTGGATTCATCAAGATTAACCCAGAAATCGTTAGAAGAAGACAACGCAGCTTTGATGGCAAATGTTAAATCTATTGAAACCAAATACAACGATTTACGTAACCAGATGGAGTCGGAACTTCAAGGTTGCGCGGACAGCATGTCGAGGATCAAGGAGCTGGAACAACAATTATCAGAAGCACAAAGAGCTGTTCAGCAACTAAACACGGTACGTGAAGAATGTGCAAGACAGGTTCAGAGATTGAAAGATCGCCACGAGGTCCAGAAGAAAATGCTGCAAGAAAGAGTTTTCTCATTGGAAAAGGATTTAGCTTTGAATCGTGCTGCGGCGAGATCCGCAATAAACGATCGTGATGAAATTCGACAACGCATGCAATGCCAGATCAACGTCCTAAGTGAACACTTTGAAGACGCACAACAGGAAATCGAAGCCCTTCGTGGCCATGTAACAGTATTAAAAAATTCTTATACCAATATTTTGTCGCAAGGAAACGGTCCCAACGATTTTCTGATGTGCAACTGCCAACGAAACCTATAAACCTTCAGCTTCAACTTTTTTATCTTTATTTGTAGTCTATCAAACAGTAGATCTTACAAGAATACTTTTTGTAAAATTGTCTGTCTAATTTGGTATATTACAGAGACGTTTCGCAACTATTGTTGTATTGTATTTTGTAGCTTTTATATAATAGTACAGAAATAAATGTTTGAGCGTTATCGTTAATTGCAAGCTTTTATGTATTCATGGAACGTAGTACAATAGTCCTGTGATTATATTGGCCTAAGGAAAGAACTTGATCGATGACAATAAAGATGACTGCATGCCAAGTTCTATTTTTCTTGTTTTTCTACGAAATGATGGTATAGCGTAAATACGTATTATTTTATATACACACATATATATATGTATATATTTATAAATGTTCCATATTTGCATGTAGCAGGAAGTATTTTTGCAGGAAACAATTTATATAGTAGCGCGCGTTTTCGATTTATATTCATTTTAACACATAAATCGGGTATTGTATTTGTATTTTGAGATATTTTGTTTGTTGAATAAAATAATCATTAAGTTTATAAATGAATATAAATCCAATATTATGCATAGAATAACGGAAAATAAATACGCATATAAATTTCAAATATACATGTTTTTTGCAATTGCAATTTCATATTGGGATAATTATAATGAATTCATTATTCAGTATATAATTTTATATATAGATTTTGTTGATATTGTCGACTACGTGTTTGATATAAAACTTTGATACAGTTTGCGGTAAATTGGTTTACTGCAGATTCCGTACATTTTTTTCTAAATATCTGTTAATAAATTTTATTTTAAATGAGCTTTTTTGATCTAATAACAGATTATTATATAAAACTAGTTAGTTTTTTATAATAATTATAGTAAGTAATTTAACACTATTTATTATATATTTAGCACTATTTAACATAATAGAGCTATTTTATGAATGCAATACCACATTTCTGGATAAAGGGATTTAGAAGCTCATTCTACTGGAAGCCTCGTGAACGAGGCTCTCTATTATTAAATGATAATATATTCAACAGCATTATTATATTCACTGATTTCAGTAAATAATTTCTATTCAAATTAGTGTTCAATGTAATTAAATTCGTATATCAATACGTTCATATTAGAACGTTTGCATTAATGTATTCCCAGTTGCAATTTATTTCGGGCACCTGATAATCTCCATTGCCGATCATACAATAAGGTTTGCATATATTTGGGATGAACGTGGAATTTTGAGATTTCAATTTGAATGATAAAAGATCAATAATCGGTAGAGTTCTAATGTTCGGACGTTACATTAATCAAAAATAAATGAATGAATTTTTATAAGTTTATTTTGCAGGTTAACATCCTAGCCTTACAAAAGTGGGTACTATTTTTAATTATTTTATCAACTTCAAATGACACAAAAAATACTCACATGTAATAGTATGTAATAGAGATGGGCTTATCATATCCGAAGCCGTTTCGGTTAGGATTTGACTTCGCTTCAGAGAGGAGTTATATCCACTTAACAACTCCACAACTCCGACAACTTTGAATCATAATACTTGACAAAAATGTGTTCACTAGTGTGTTGTTAACATATCTAAGGATTTATTAAGACTTTGAAAATAGTTTACAAATAGTTCAAACATTTTTGTTCATTTTATTATAATAATTACTATTTTATGCATTTCAATATGCATATAAATCTCAAATTGACAAAAAACTTGGGAATCAAAATCAGACAACTCCACTCGGATTCACTCCAAGGAAGGAGTTGAATCGGAGTGATAACTCCGGAGTGAGTTACCCATCTCTAGTATGTAATAAGCACTGTACTATAGACCAATGGTTAAACCAGGCAAAATTTATTCTCATAGAATTCCCATATATTAAAAGTTATAATTGTTCCATCTGATTTATTAACTACCCACATAGAGTTTTTGCTCACATTTATATCCCATTGTCCAGAACCTTACTATATCTAATTTTAATTAAACCCTCAGTCAAAATCCATTACTTAAGCCTTGATTAAAAAAAGTGTTGAAAATCGGGACATTTAAAATTACTTTGTTTTAATTAAATGGAATTCTCGAACTCATGTGTTAAAACATCTGCCATTTACATTTTCGTTCCCAGGACACAGAAAGTTTATTAGGCGAAGTTGTATAGTGGTCCAAACTAGTATAGAGTCCGAAACGGTTATTTTATATCATCAGACATAAAATATAGTGCAAACAAAGCAAATAATTCTAAGTGTCCCGAGAGAATCAATACTGAAGAGCTATAAAATTCTAACGGAATTGTGAAACATGCAGTATATGATTTGAGTGCACTTTAGTTAGTTCTCATCTATACTTCCGAGAAGATTTAATATTGGTCATATAATGGATTTCATATTTTATTACTTTTGAATTGCTTTTCCCGGCTATATTTTAAAATTTTGCACTCCTAATTGAACTATTGCAATATGAACATTATGATTCGATATAGTGAGTGATTTATATATTACCGTGTGGTATATGGCTTATACAACCGTAATAAGATCTCTATGTTTCATTTTTCCAATTGCTTATTTGATAGAAAAATCATTACATACACGGGAATTTTATTACCCTGTATGACATGCGTCGACCCGCGAAAAATTCTAGAAAGTCTCGGTATGTTACTACATAGTACATTTCCAATATATGTTCTTTGATCGTAAAATTGAAAACATAAAAGGAAAATGCCAAGCATGTTAGAAACGTAAAATATTTAGCCTTTTAGAACAGAGCAAATCTCGGCTGCATTTGCACTATGCTATAAAATTACACATTATGCACATATATATAAAGGAAACAAAAATCGAAAAAGTGTATGAAGATAAACGTCTGTCATTTTTTTGGCAATTTTGTATAGTGGAAAAATGTTACAAAAATATTTGTAATATTTTTCAACCGCCTCTGATAAAAGTTTTTGAAATTGTGTTGGTATCTGGAGACTAAACTAAACAATTAAAAATTAACTAAAGTTTTATTCGATAAAACTCCAACTCTCTTGGGTTTAATATATATTTACTCATAGCATCAAATATATATATATATATATATATATATATATTATTACTTTATATTCCATACAAAACTATTTGAAGAGTTCAAACTTTTCATAAAAAGTTTGCTGAGCTGCATGAATACCTGCATTATGGATAAACGCTTACAGATAACAAAAGTTTAAATTTTATTTAGGTTAACTCAGTTGCAAAACTTTATATAACTCATGTACCTACCTCAAGACAATTTTTGTAATGAAGAGAAGCTACGAATTCTCCTTGTCAACTTTACTGACAAGGATAAATAGAAAATATCTGTAGCTTTTATACTAAAGAAGTAATAAAGGTCATATAAAGTTGTGTCTAGATACATATAGATATACATTTTTATCCAAGGGAATTTATAGTTTAGTTATTAATTTTTTTATTATTTTTAGGTCTGGCAGGTCCAACAAAGGCCCCTGCAGAAGCAGCTGATGCTGATGACGATGATGATGATGATTGGGAGGAGGGAGGTGATGATGACTCTTCAGAAGCTGATGACGATGGACGAGTTTATAAAAATCCAAGGAATTCACCATCACCTGATTGTCCAAGGGATGAGGAACAAGCTACCTTACTAGTAAGTTAATAATAGAAGTAATAGCAATAACTATAAGTTGTAAAAATAAATATTATATAGCTCCATATTAAATTTCCATTCTCATTGAATTAAATTTAAAAACATCATATAATAACACTTCCCGAAACAAAATCTAATCTAATACGAAACGCAAGAAATTACAGAACTTTGTCGAAACTGTTTGCAATGGTTCTATAAAAAGCAGCTCGAGCAACACATGTACTAAAAACACTTTGTAATATATAAAACAAAATTACATTGTCATTTTTTATGAACTTTTTCTTGAAAAAGTACTCTTTTAAGCAAAAACTGTTTTTCTTTGTGAAAACGGCAAAAATAAGTTAGTTAATTACCTTTTCTATACGTGAGAGCTATTATGCTACATGGAGGCTCCATAAAAACCGTAATGGTTCATAGAACTTGCCTTGCAGAGATAAATCATTCTGCAGTGGTAAAAAGTATTATTTTGGTAATCTTTTATTATTTAGAGTTATGTAACTTCATAATCATTAATCTCACAAAATATTACATTGCAAAATAATTTAAATGCAATATATTTACATTTTAGAATACTATCATATATCCTTTACCAGTATATTATTTATATATTTCTATAATTTGCAATTTCTCTGAAGGAATTTCTGAATAAATCTCAGAGTATTACTCAAGTATCTTCAAGAGATTATTCTGCATTTATGTTATTCCTGGCTTAAACTAATCATTATAAACGTAATGCTTCCTCAACATGGAATGTTTTAAGACTTAAAGTTATATTAATGGTAATACACAAAGTTATATAAGCCTAATCTGGTACACGAATAACTAACTATTCATAAAGTAGTACAATTGAGGACACAGATTTTATTCACCTGGGTTTTTAGGAAACAGACATTGGTTTCGTGATATCCCATCAAAATTGGTAAAGTGAACTCAAGAGTTTTTCGAGAAGCTTTTTTATATGTGCTAATACTTGTGTTTTTGCATGTGTCCCGGTTTTTCTGAACGATTTTCTGAGTAATTTCTAGAGTAATCTTCTACTATCTTGGATCGTTTCTATTTCCTGAATTGCATCTGGCTTAAACCAATCGCAATAAACATAATGTTCTACAACGTACAATGTTTAAGGACTAAAAGCTACATTGATGGCAATAGAGAAAACAACCTGGTTCAATCTAACATACATTCAATCTAACAAAAATTGACTTCATCAATAAAATTTGAGATTTAAAGATTTTTGGAATTGTGAAGTTGACTTCACAACTCCAAAATGTATCAACTATTTGTTTCTCAAATAAAGATTTCCTATAAAAACGAGTCGAAATTGTCTAAAATCATCCATGTGCTTTTATATGTTTCCCAATATTTTACATTAAATTTAAGAGTAACCTCCTGCTATCTTGGATTCAAGAGTAGCTTCTTACTATTTTGATCCAATTACACTAAACATGATTGATAGATTTGATTGTTTTCCATTACAATGATGTAGGAACCCTCTTAGAAATAAACCTCAGTAATGTTCCGATGACTTTCTCAAATGTTCCTGGATGTTCATATTTGTTTCCCTTAAAATTCTGAATTGGTACTCCAGTACCTTTGCAAGTTGTACTTCCTAAATTGCATTTATGTTATTCCCAGATTAAACCAATCACAATAAACGTAATGCCCCTACAACGTGGAATGTTTAAAGACTTAAAGCCATATTAATGGCAAATACAGGAGGCTACATGAGCTTAATCTAATACACGCCATCGGAATTGATGGCCCTGATTGTTTTTCGTTAATGGCGTCACGTCTTTGCGCTATCCAGGAGGAAACTATTTAGTGATTTGGGCTCGAACTCGAATTCACCAGGAAAATCCGATTTTGAGAGATAGATATACTAAAGTAATACTTCGGAACGTTTCTGCTTTTACTTCAGTGGGTTGGAATTCTGAAATTGTGCCAAGGGGGTATTAAAAATCGAACTAAGTATAGAAAATGGTTATTTATTTCCCTCAAGCGCTGCGAAACTTATGGTAGAGAAATTTTTGTTTTTATATTTATAAGACTTCAACGATTTAGTTCAATAGATATAATATACAATATATACAGTTATAAAAAAATAATCAGTTATTGGGATTTTTTTGTAAAAAGGCATTCATAAGTTTTGAGCTTTCTTTTGTGATAAAAACACCAGTTATTTTGAAAACTACAAAAATCAATGACACTAATCAAAACACATTTTTAACATTTATATTTCTGAAAAACGAAAAGAAAAATATTAAAAATTTGATTTTAATCCTACAAACTTTCTTGGAACTAAATAGATAATAATTCTTATACAATGCATTTTCAAATTAATTTTTTAAATTTTAAAATGTAGAGATTGTACTTATTATCTCTAGGTGACATTTATTACTATCCACCTCCAGAGCTTTTTAAAAGTTCTAACTTTTAATTTCTGTCAGAAAATAATTTGCATATTTGGTGGCATTATTGTGAGAAAGTGCATTCTGAACTATGAATATACTTAGCAAACTTTTCCAAGAGCTTTTAGCTCTTATCAACATTAATGTGTTCTTTTACAGTAGTAATTTTATAATCAGACATTCTTTTATCGGTGTAATTGTACAAAGTGATTCATGAATAAATATTTTTTGTTAGAAAAGTACGATTGTTCCTGGTTATAAATTGCAGTGTTGGTATAAGATAAGGTTATGAATTGTGGTAATTGTAGTAGGTAATGTTATTTTTATATGTAAAGAGCAAATACATGTATTGTATGGAGTAAATACATATGAATTTGATTTCAGGGTCAGAAATGTCTTCGAAAATGTTCTTCAGACGAGGATTGCAAGTCTAAGAAGAAGAAATGTTTGTGTGATGGAGCGTGTGGCATGTCTTGCATCAAACCAGGCAAGTTTATTTTAATAAATACATTTTATTATAATAATTTGTGTGAATACTACTACAAAACTAGTAGAATTTCTAACGAATTGATTTTTGAATAATTTATGAATACTGCTGTCAGACTTGGTCAGAAGTGGATATTTTTTTTTGTTTACAATAATTAAATAGCAATCAGAAAAAAATAATTCTATAAGCTATTGTGTTGATTATTAGAACTCCAGTAACAGTATTGGAGTTCTATATATATGACATGACGGAGATCACCCCTGTGGGCTACTCCATTTTAATGCATTAGAACGAAGGGATGCTTCTTCTTCAATCTTCTAATATGTGATGCTTGTAAAACGGGAATTCATGTGGGGTTGTTGTGGTTGATGATCGTGTCATGATGAATTCCACCTCTGTTTTTCACTACCTCCTGGACAGTATCGATTCTTAGATCGTTATGTAGTATTCGGTTGCTGACATACCAAGGTGCATTTGCAATACATCTTAAAATTTTAGATTGTTTCCTTTGGATAGATGAAATTCTTGATTTACTGGCGCAGCCCCACAACTCTACGCCATAAGTCCAAATCGGTTTTATTGTCGCTTTATAAAGTAGAATTTAGTTTTCTAATGATAATTTAGATTTAGAATAAGCCAGAACAGTGAAGAAGTGGATATTTTACTAATATTTTTTGTTTCATAGTTGTGTCCATCTCAATTTGTTAAAATGAAAAATATTTTCACACAATAAATTTGAATTTTATAATTGGCATCAATTTAATAAAATCGAAACACTAAATCCATGAAGTAAAATTGTTATGTCCTCTTGTGAAAGAGCGTATAAAATCCACAATCTTTTTATATAAAAGTATACCATAACGTTGCTAGTAGATACGTGTACTTACGTAATATTTTATAAGATAAATATGATAAATACAATCATGTATTTCCCAGAATGGCCGTTGAGTAGCGGATGATTGTCTTAAAGAAGAAAATAATTCATTATATACAACCCCAGCGCGATAACTGCCCAAGGGGTGAACATCCCTTGTATACGAATACACCTTTCATGTAACTTATATACACGTTCGTCTTGTAAAGTATACCTACATAAAGCGTTAAAACGGTATTCCGTTAAGAAGAATTATTTGTATCCAACACGGTAACGCAAGCCCACAATTTACTTTGATCTGTTTTATGAAATACGGGCACGTGAAGAGAAAATTAATTTCGCGTTCGTTAATAATTTTGTTCCTGATGATTGTGCGCTTAATAAGTTTCGAAGCCATTACCGGGATCGTTTTGAGAGAGCGATACTATTATAATGGTATAGAGTGCATGTAGGGTGGTCGTATTCAGTCCGTGGCCCCCTTGGTCAGACCGCACTACTGCCCATTTAAGCGCCTTTAACACATTGATATGGGAAGACATTTTTGGTAATGACTTTCTCGACGCCGGACCGCCCGGCCAATTCGGAAAATGACCGACGGACGGAAATAACCAATCAGGATAATGATAAATAAATTTTGGGATGACTTTGGATGATACTAATTTACTGAGATCTATCATTTTAGGACACATTATTTATTCTAATATTATTTTATTATTAATATTATTTATTCTAAGATTTCCGTTTACCTCTCTTTTATAAAGTTTGTGACTATTCTTCATTTTCCCGACATTTTTCCTATTCAGAGAATCTGAACTCGCGCAGACCTTCAGTTTAGTGACAGAATAATTTCTAAGGACCCAGCCAATTTACTTTATTGCTCTTATCTCGAGACATGAACGAAACGTCAGACACGTTTAAGCAGAACTTTATTCTTGGATCCACGAATGAACGTACACAGAATGCTCTTTCAAGGAGCATTTTATACTGTGATAAAATTATGTAATATTGTTTATGCGATTTTTTATTTCTAATAAGCTATAAAGATAATGATTAGACCTATTTTCTTTTAAGGTAAAATTACACAAATTGCCTGAGGCAATTGGTTTCAAAATACATGCTCGATTAGTAATATGAATAATAATTTCTTATTAATTATATTTGTATATTGACACTAACTTCCATCATCGTTTTTTTGAATAAAATTTGTACTAATGTAAACAAATCGTCAGTAATGACCTTAAGGGGCACAACTAGTGTAACCGCCTAAAAAAGGTGATTTTTGGGAATTTATATTAAAAAAACTACTTTATCAATCATTTCAAAATTTTAGGAATATATTTATACATGTTTTAAGAAGACATAGTAAAATTTTTTAAGAAAAAAATTAAATATTTTTTAAATTATCGTCGATCTCCAACGGCGCAACAGAAAAAAGGCCCTTCACTGCTGCAGTGATTCCGGCCTTCTACGTAGATTAAATTTAAAAAAAATTCTTGTTAAACTAGATAATATTGTCTGTAAAATGAACTACGATAAAGAAAAAAAAACAAAAATTGACAAAATGACGGCGTTTTCAAAAAAAAGTCGAATTTTACCCAAGATTTTGGTCGTTTTTCGACTGCCAAAATTCGATTTTTGATCCGATCAAAAAATCGATAGTTCATTTTACGGAGAACTATATATAGAACATGTAAAAAAAATTTGATAGTGAACGGATCATTTGTTTTTCAGTAATCGCTGCAGCAAATTCAGAAAATGCTGTTTCGAGAAAAAACGCGTTTAAAGATTAAATGATCGTTATACTTCGTATACAATATATATATACTCTTTAAATGGCTGTGACTCAAAAACTATTTAAGATATCGGTTTAAAATATTGGTATGTTATTTTTAAAGGTATAACTCATCGAAATATGGAAAAATTGAAAATTCGATTTTTTGAAAATTTCACACTAGTTGTGCCCCTTAAGAAACTGTAGGGATTTTATGGAATATTAACTTTGAGTCTCAAACTTATTATTTTATAAGATTTCTGCGAGCTCATTAAATAAACTCATGAGAAGCTTCCATAGCTGGCATTGGTGAACAAAATATTTTACCTGGCGAAAAATTCTATATCTGGTTCCAATGCGAACAAAAATTCAGCTATATTATTTTTTAATAATACCTATACTTACTATTTCATCTGATTACACTAAGCTTATTAAATAAACTCATGAAAAGGTACGTTAACGATAATTTACCTCGGTAGAAATTCTATATCCAATTCGCGAATGCAATTCCGACGCAAAATTGCACAATAAGCTCGAAAGCAAAAAATTCAAGTGCGAACCGTAGAAAAACTATCAGGCTGCCCTACTCTATAGTATTATATAGCCTGCTAACAAACGCAGCCGGCCGTACCATAAATTCAAACTATCGCCCGTCCAAAGCCGTGCGATTGTGTTATTCACGTTGAAGCCGGGCGCAATTAGTCCAATTATCATTACAAGCTTTTGTTTTGTTCAGTGTTAGCGAGCTTTGCGCTCGCGAAAGTTTTGAAGCGTTCCGAAACAAGCGCTCCCCGGTGGGCTTTATCGGCGGCCAGGCGCTACGGCGCTCCGGCGGCGCCCCTTTCGGACAAGAGGTGTTAGTCCGGCACGAGGCGCTATAATACGGTATAATACGCTTTAGCACAGATACACCGACTATAAAGCCCGGCAGACGTGACTGACGTTCCTTGCACGTTCGGGGGGAAACAGTAATAAAGTAGATTGCTAGACCACTTGCAAATTTGTTTGTTAGTTTGTTACGGGTTCCCTAACACGACCCGGAGGATCTTTTTCCTTCGAGCACAGGTATGCTTCGGAACAAAACTTTTGCCTCACACAAAGTATGTGCATTTTTGTTACATGGTTATAAAAACCTCTAATGTTAATTAATCTTCCGTGATTACAACTGGTAACCTAGCATTGAAAGTTTTAGCCTTTAGTTGCTCAGAACTTTTCAATTTTTGCTTCTACACCAGTACCCACAGTACTCTGAAGTATTACACACTAAAACTCCATTTATTATTATTTAAATATTTCACAATCGCGTACTGTTTCGCATGATATTTTACAATGAAATCCTAATATTTGGTACGGATGCTATAGCATTCATCGTGTATAATGATTAAAATATTGGATATAAAATATGATGATATCACAACCAATTTAAAAATAAAATGACTGTCAATTTTTGTATCTTCACTGTCTGCAAACGTGTTAAGCTTATAGCAATCTTAAAGAATAATAAATATAAGAATGTCTAAAAATTAATTTGATATTAAATTTAATTTTTTCTTTCGAGCTCATTGTGCAATTTCGAGTCGGAATTGCATTTGCGATCAAGATGTGAAATTTCTCGAGAGGTAAATTATCACAATGTGCTTTAAAGTAGCTTTTCATGGGATTATTTAATAAGCTTAGAGTAATCAGATGAAATAATAAGCACCAGCAAATTAATTTTACAGAAATTTTTTTTTAAGCTTATTATGAATTTTGTATCGGAATTGCATTTGTAGATATATAAATTCAAATTCAAAGTAGCTTTTCATGAGTTTATTTAATAAGCTTAGAGTAATCAGATGAAATAATGATAAATATTTTCTTATATATATAAGGATATTATATAATGACATATATAACTAACATTTTACGGAAGAAATTTTTATTTTAAGCTTATTATGAAATTTTGTGTCGGAATTGCATTTGCAGATATATAAATTCACGCAAAGTAAATTCTGCCATAAAGTAGCTTTCCATGCGTTTATTTAATAAGCTCATAGTAATCAGGTTAAAAATTAATATTTATAGAGGATATTTTTGTTTTGAGCTTATTTTACAATGTGGCATTCGTAAACTAGATATAGAATAATAAATTATCGTATTCTACGTTAACACAGACAAGTTTTTATTTTGTGGTTGTACTCAAAATCAGTAATTAAAGATAAAATTATGAATATTGATCGACTAATTAAGGAAAAATATATTCTTATTTTTTTGCAAATTATTTTATTAATCATTTATTTATAATTATAACTTGCTGAACATGTTTAATATTTCTGAACATCTTTCTAATATTTATATTCACAAAGATTTCACTCT